AGGCCCAGGCTTCAGTGTGAGTGAAGTGTGGGGAAATTGAAAATAGAAGATTATATTGCATTACATATACGTATTGAGACATTTTTATTTAGCGGTGTGTCATGGGATTCTTTAAAATAAAGAGAAAAATATCAAAGATCAAAATAGGTAGGGAAATGATGACTCGTGAGGCAGAGGTGAACCAGATATGGTCACAAATATAGTATAGACTAAAGACCTACAGTGACTTGATCGAAATATTTTTGAATAGGGAAAATATAGGCTATGAGTTAAGATGCCTTTTGGTTTTATCAAGCTTTGATCTACAAAGAACCTGAGAAATAAATATGCCGCCTAATTAACCTGTTTTTACATCCACGATGTAACACCTAGGATCTCTTACACAGGGTTAATCTGAAATCCCCCCCACTGTTGGAGGATGAGCTGCTGGTATCAGTGGCCAAAAAGTACAACAAGACGACGGCCCAGGTGGTGCTGAGGTTCAACGTGCAGAGAGGAGTCGTGGTCATCCCGAAGAGCTTCAACCCCACTCACGTCAGGAAGAATTTCGAGGTGTGTTTTCGAAAGGCTAAAATAAGAGCACATACATGTACTGTAATGCACAGTGAATGACGTTGTGTAACAAACACTGCAGATCTTCGACTTCTCTCTTTCTGATGACGAGATGACGGCCATTGAAGGGTTGAACAAGAACATTCGATTTGTGGAGCTCCTCATGTGAGTCTAACACGAACATCGCCTTGTCCTCAGTTAATTGTAGTTACAAATATTTATTATTTTCTTTATTTTCCCCCAACAGGTGGGCGGACCATCCAGAGTATCCATTTCATAATGAGTTCTAGTCATCCAAACATTTTTCTAAATACATGGAATGTTTTCACCTTACTGGAAATCAATTGAAAACACAAACACTTCTGCAATTTGTTTCTTTTTTTTTTTGCAATCTTGTATTCTTTTTATGATTGTTGTGTTTCATGGATTGTATTGTGTTTCATGGAGCTTTGGTATTAAAATTAGTTACCATACTGTTGATACCCTACCACATCAGGGTACTTTCACATCTGCTGACAGTTTACAGAGTGAGTAGTTTCCTAGAGGAAACTTTCCTTAATACAGAAGACAGTTAGCCAAGTTGGATGCCTTTGTCAGTTGGCCAACAGGAGACAAATTAAATGCCTCATTGTGTTTTAATGGCACATTGGGAGTTCCATTCTTCTTTATTCATGTGTGAACAGGAAAGGTGATTAAACATAATGTGAGAAGAAATAGATTATAAATGAATATGGAAGTTCACCAGTAGACGGCGATAAAAGCTCACTTTATCTGTAAACTGACATACCTCATCTTCAGTGGTGCATTACAGTGCTAATGGATGTTTTCAATGAATACACTTTTTTAAAATTTTAATATTACTTTATTATAACAAATATTTTCAATAAACCCCTGCATATATTCGAATTTCGCTATATTATGCGTGATATCCAAAGTTACGATTTATGTTTAAAATCGGTCATGTCTTTCTTCAAGCATTTACATAAGTCACTTCACTAAGATAGTTAATAATGTTAAAATAAATGTCATTTCGAAGACGATTAAACGTGTTGCGTTTTTGTGTAATGTGAAAACCTATTCGACGTCAGATTTATTATGATAGTGTTATGAAATCAATTTTCCGAGTTTCCATGAATGTACCGAGGCCGCTACCATCTTCAGTCGAGCTAGTCGTAGCTACCACAAAAGCTAATGTGGTTACGCTACATATAGATGTCGTTTAGAGTACTTTTGTTAACGCTTGTGAGATTCCGTTCATTATTTCGCTAGTGAACAGAAATGTGATTAATGCGAACCGACTCAAATCATTGCGAGCTCTATTATTTAGTCGAGTGTTTAGCCATTGCTAGCTGCGCCACTGGCATCAGTGTCGCTGTAGCTCTTTCAAATTAGCCGTGTGCAACCTTCCCCACTACCTTAAACGCTTCAATGAATGGAGGCGGATGTACTAAGTGAAGGCATCAGTCAACAATGTGTTTGCTGTAACCCCCTCCCTCCATGGACTCGGCTAGTGGTTAGCCACCAGATGCTAAGAGAAAACAGTCTCAGAAAGTGGAGTGTAAGCGAAGAAATCTGACCGGGGAACGTAATTACGTTAGCCGCAAATACACGTAGCCGATGCACGGTGTATGGGAAGTTTTTTGGAAATGCGAACATCGCGAAGAAACCGTGTATTACCCGGGGACAAGCACTTAGCAGTAGCCATGCTAGCCTGTATTAAGACAATATTTTGAAGCCATTCCAGTTTGTGTTTACAAACTAAACTTTGGATATTCATTGGACGTCTTGCGACAGACTGGCTGTACATGAAGGTGTCATCTGGGGGAAGATGAGTGACCCTGCCCTTCGTCCCAGGTAGGGGGTGGTGCTGTCGGAGACACTCCGGCTTCTCCTGGCTTGGCTTGGCCGGGCCTGTCGCTGTTCACGGATGATGGGAATCGTCAACCAGCCAACCCCCCAGTTGTGTTTATTTATGTCTTCGGGTTCAACATGGATGTCCTCTACTTGAATTGCTTCGCTGTTTGGGGAATTTGACATTTCCCGACGAATATGAAATCCAACCAACTGGAATTAATAATGGTTTTGTGACTGTAACACGGTACATTTTGGTCGTCTTTTCTTCAAGACATTTTAATTTCGAACACGCCAACATGTCTGCATTTGCTGAGTTCGTCCCCCCTCCCGAGTGTCCGGTCTTTGAACCTAGTTGGGAGGATTTTTCTGATCCGTTAGGATTTATCAACAAAATTCGACCAATCGCAGAGAAAACTGGAATCTGCAAGATCCGACCCCCGGAGGTAATTTCCACAATGTTGTGATAGTTGAAATAAACGTTGGCTTTAACGTAAATGTTTCTCGTCATCCGAAACAGAAAACGCCTGTTTGCCCAGGGCCTGGGTTAGAGTCCGGAACAGGATCACAAGTCCTACAATTATTAGAGATTAATTAAGGCCTTATTTGTGTGCGACCAAGCTCACGGATACTAGTGTTTCGGTGACATTGGTTGTCAGTTTTGGCCAGAAAAGTTTGAAATCATAAATATGTATATTCTTGTGTGCGGAGTAAAATCAATTAATGATGTTTTCCCAACGTACCACATTAGCTGCTGAGAGAAAGGCCTGTAGCCGGTGTCAGAGATAGACCCATTTCCTATTCGCGTGCAACAATTAGTCGGTTTCAGCTGATTAATCGATTAATAAAATAGCCATTAACTGAGTGCTTTGCTTCAGGGTTTGTTATTTTGCTAAATTCTGTGCTTTTGCGTCATTACAGTAAAACCTGTCTGGTAAAAATTCTTTAATGCAGCCAAAATTTACACTTGGATGTAACTTTTATTGATTTATTTTTTAACATTTTTGCACCATTTAAAGTGTCAGGAGTGTTTCTTTGTGATCCTTCCTCTTCCTAATACAGTAAATATTAACTTCTTGTTACTCTAAGAATGTTTTTGTTCCGTGTGTTCCATGTGATTTCTGCCATTGCCTCATTGCTGTTGTTTTGAGCCTCCTGTTTCCTGTTTGTCAGGACTGGCAGCCTCCGTTTGCCTGTGACGTACGCAACTTTCACTTCACTCCTCGAGTGCAACGCTTAAATGAACTTGAGGTAGGTGCCAATTTGCTACATCTTGTTTATTACTGATGTTTATCATTACAGTGGCAAGTGTTGCTTTGTCAATATTTAGGAGTGTTCATTTATTGTACTCTCACACGTTCTCCCAGGGCAACAGCAAGTCGTATTTATAGGTTTCACCTGTGATGTTTGATCTGTTAAACTATACCCTGTAGACGCATCACTTTATCATGAAGATTTATCAATGACAACAGAACAGTCAAGGCAGGATGTATCTTTTTTTTTTTTGTCACTACAGCAGTTTTGTCATTTGTTTAAAACCCCCCTTCAAGAAATTCTGCCTGTGGTGTCTCATGTCCACATCAGCCAAACACTGGGCTTTTGTTATCCTTTTGTACTACCTTATGGCTCCTTCAAATCTAGGCACTTACTCGGGTGAGGCTCAACTTTTTGGATCAAATTGCAAAGTTCTGGGAACTGCAGGGATGCAAGATTCGATTCCCTCATGTAGAAAGAAAGGTTTTGGATCTCTATCAACTCAGTAAGGTAAGATCACATAGTTACTGCATGACTGTCACCTTGTTTTTCCTTGTATATCTACAATATAATAAGTAGAGCCTGTATAATTATGAGTACAGTGAGGAATTCTTACAAGATGTGATTATTTTTGCCAATGGACACCTGTGTATTTGTCTTAGATCGTTTCATCTGAGGGTGGCTTTGAAACGGTGTGTAAAGAGAAGAGATGGTCTAAGGTCGCTAGCCGGATGGACTTTCCACCTGGAAGAGGCGTTGGAACATTACTGCGTTCCCACTACCAGAGAATTCTTTACCCCTATGAGCTCTTTCAGTCCGGGGCAACATTAACTGTAATGTTGTGCTTACTGCAGTTTCTGTAAATCACAAGATGAAGATTTATCCTGTTTTTTACAACCAAATTTCACACCCAACAGGGCATCCAGAGGCTCTATGAGGAGGGCGTTGATGTTGAAGACGATGAGGGAGTAGGGGAGGAGGCAGTGGAAGAAGAGGAAGATGAAGAGAAGGAGAAGGAAGAAGCTGATGGAACGCAAACCAAAGATCTGCTTTTGTCTGAGAGGCGTTCCAGGCGCCTTAAGTCTGAGGTAAACAGAGTGTAATACATACATTTATTCCTTTTGAAAACATTTTAGAACATTAAGCCATAATTACCGTTTCCATGCTTGTGTTACTAGTTGTGCAAGACACTTTTTTCCACCAGTTCCACCTGTTTCCAATTGTTGTTTCTTTAGAGAGAAAACAACGACCCCAAAGGCCTCAAACTCTTCAACACAAGTCCCAAAATGGTTGGACTGGAGATTGTGTCCACTGGTGAGAATCATCTTTACTAGAAACTGTCTTTTTTATATTTCAACGTAGAACAAAAAAAAATTTCAGGTACCCTTTTTTATTGACATCCTATTTGTTTTTCAGATGAAGGATACAACAAAAGACAGCGTCATCTCAAAGCCCAAGCGTTTGCCATTAAAATGAGACCTCGGAAGGAGACGCTGGAAGTCAACTTTGTCAGTATCACTCCTCCGTGTTTGATGTTTGGTTGTCTTATTATAACCATTGCCTTCTCTGTTACTAGGATAGCATGTAATCACACCTCTATTACATGTGTCTTTGACTCAGATTGACCTCTACTTGTGCCTGGTGTGCGGCCGAGGTGACGAGGAGGATCGACTCTTGCTGTGCGACGGCTGTGATGACAGCTACCACACTTTTTGTCTGATTCCACCCCTGCAGGAGGTGCCCAAGGGTGACTGGCGCTGCCCAAAGTGTGTTGCAGAGGTAAAAAAAAAAGTACATTAAATCTCATAGTCTTTAAGAATGTATAAGTTTGATGTCCCTCAATTACACATAATAATAATTCTTTATATTGACATTTATAAAATGGATTTTGATAATACAGTTTTCTAAACTAAATGACCGTCTTCTCTTTAAAGGAGTGCAGTAAACCGAGGGAGGCATTTGGCTTTGAGCAGGCGGTGAGAGAGTACACCCTCCAGAGCTTCGGGGAAATGGCTGACCACTTCAAGTCTGACTACTTCAACCAGCCTGTGCATGTATGTAAAGCCTAATCTTAATATATATATATATATATATACACACGCCCAGAGGACACAGCAATTGTGTTGGGGCAAAGAAAAGTGCTGCATAAATAGACTGGTAATCACTGTATTAAATCAAATCCTGTCCAATGTCCATTTGTAATTTTGCTTCATTATGGTCCCCATGAAGTTTAAATGTTTATCTGGATCTACATGAGTTCCTCTTTGTACCTCCAGATGGTGCCAACAGAACTGGTGGAGAAGGAGTTCTGGCGCCTGGTCAGCAGCATTGAGGAGGACGTCATTGTAGAATACGGGGCTGACATTAGCTCCAAAGATGTGGGCAGTGGATTTCCTATCAGGGATGGGAAGAGGAGGCTGCTGGGAGATGAGGAGGTAACCTGTCCTGGGGTCTTCTCTTTTATTTACATGTCACAATAACCCCAGTGTGAACAGATAGATATATATATAGAGAGAGAATGACAGAAACAAACCACTTGGTATATTTTATAAAAAATAAAACCCCTAATTTTTCTCAATTCAACTCCATCTTCGTCTTCCGTTAGGAATATGCGAACTCAGGCTGGAACCTGAACAACATGCCGGTTCTGGAGCAGTCGGTGCTTGCCCACATCAACGTGGACATCTCAGGCATGAAGGTCCCCTGGCTGTATGTGGGCATGTGTTTCTCCTCTTTCTGCTGGCACATCGAGGACCACTGGAGTTACTCCATCAACTTCCTGCACTGGTGAGACTTTTTTATCTCACTTGAATGTAAAAAACAAAACAAAAAAGAGCAGGAAAGAGTCACTAATCCAAGCCAAAATACTGCTTGTCTTTCCTCTTCAGGGGTGAGCCAAAAACATGGTATGGTGTGCCAGCTTCTGCAGCAGAGCAGCTGGAGGCTGTGATGAAGAAATTGGCTCCGGAACTTTTTGACTCACAGCCGGACCTCCTCCACCAGCTGGTCACCATCATGAATCCGAACGTCCTGATGGAGCATGGTGTCCCTGTATGTGTCACGTCCTCAGATGTGAGCCAGTGAGATAACTGCGTGTGACATGTCTGACATGTTTGTTGATGTTTGCTGCCTTCAGGTGTACAGGACCAATCAGTGTGCAGGAGAGTTTGTGGTGACCTTCCCTCGGGCCTATCACAGCGGATTCAACCAGGGCTATAACTTTGCGGAGGCTGTGAACTTCTGCACTGCTGACTGGGTAAAAGCAATAAAGAAAACAAATTACATTTTAGAAATTTTTTTTTTTTACTTTTCAACATGATCATTTCTTCTTCTTTTTTTTCCC